AAAAATACTTAAAATTTGTGAGATTTGAACCGGCCGGTTCAAAAATAACCGGACCGATTCACTTGGTTCGCCGGTTGAACCGGCGGTTCTAACCGGTTTAGTCCGGTTCTTTGCAGAAGCGGTTTTAGGGCTAAACCGGACCGGCCTTGTGACTGGTTCACGGTTGAACCGGTCGAACCGGCCGGTCCGGTCCGGTTTTAAAAGCACTGCTATCTGCATACTTTTAATTGACTACTTTTGCACTTTATTGCAAGAATTTCAGCTCTCCATGAACAATCTTTTCTGTTGTGCAGCACTCACCTTGGCTGTTAGTGATGTTGTTGTTGTTGCAGCATAGATTCATGTGTCCAACATCAAAGTTTTATTGTATTGTATAAAGTTTTATTTTATTTCTTTTTATAAAACTTATTGTATTCTATAAAATTTCCTTTAAAATACCACTTGATATCCACTTATTACATTGCACTCCAATTATAACCTCATCAAATCCCCATCTTTTTTGTATCACTTTCTAAACATTAAAAAATATTGTGCCTACTTATGATTTGATCGTCACATATCATTTATTGCTTATAGTTATTTGCATATTCACTAAAAGTTTAGAGTATATAATCAAATTTTATTTTTCTAACTAGAAGCATTTTATTTTCCTTTATTTTCTCTTACATAATGTTTATCGATTATGTTTTTTTTTTTTAATTTGAATTCTTTGGCGACTTGGTTGTACTTCAAACGTACTGTAACTTCGTTATAATTGCTTTTCCTTGATAGTTGCTTCTTGCCACCGCAAGTTGTTATTGCTTTTTCATGTAACTAAGGCTTTGTTTGAGATGGTTTTTGTTGTTGTTTTTTTAGTGTTGGGTAGTATAACTAATAAAAGTTGATGTTCATTTGGATGACATATTTTCATAGTGTTTTTCTAAATTATTTTAAAAAATAGCTTTTTGGGAAGCATATATAAAATTGCGGTTGAAAAAAGAACTTTCTAAAGAAAAGCAAAGAAGAAGTCTAAGGGTTCATTTTTGGGAGCTATTATGGGTATTATGGATTTTTCCCTTTTGAAAAAAGTCGAACAACTTTTTGACTGTTACCACACTCAAGCATATTTAGCTGTAAAACGTTGCTTCCTATGACAGAAATTTCTATAAAATGGCTAGAATGTTATAACCAAGTATAACAGTGACTGCTGTATGGAAAACTAAGCTTTGAATAAGTTGGCCCAAGCCCATGTATAATAATCTTTTTGTTGATCGCTTCTTAATAATAGAACTTGCCCAACCTTCATCAATGAACATTTTCACGTTTTCTTAAAATAACCCTTTGCCTAGATTCTTTTTCTTTTATTGAAAGATTCAAAACAAATTTCTCATTTCTATGGGATTTTTCATAATTTTTCTGTCAATCTTAACCGGGAAGCAAATGTCTGGTTTGATATGTGCTAGCTAAATTTATTTTCCCAAAGTCTTTGATATTGTTCATTATTAGTATAGGGACTTTCATTCTCGATAATCATTTTAATATTTTGATCCATGTGTGTCCATTGGTTTACATACCAGCATCTTAGCGATCAAGGACATAATTTCATTGAGATATAGAAATGCCATCCATTGATTGGCCTTTTTCAATACATGAAAATATCAAGTTATCCCAATTATTAAATATTGAAGTTTTTTGCCATGAAAAACAAAAATACTTTTCTAAACGAAAAAAAAAACTATGAAGGAAAATGATAAGGCATGATATGAAAATTTGAATTCAAATGCTTTTTATATTTATTGATACATGTAGAAGGAAGGAACAATACATAAATCAGTGAGGTTGATGAAGCAATATGTTAGACCGGTCCAAGGAGGACCGGTCCAGCCGGCCCAGCCCCTTGGGCCGGCTTTGTTCGTCTACGCCAGGAGGGCCGGCGGACACAAGAAGAAGGGAGAGGGGTGTGGTCCACTTGAAGTTTGAATTGTTTCTTGGAGCCAGAAGGAGGGGAAGCAAGGGTAATTAGGTCCTTTTGTTTTAGATTTGAATTGTATGCATTAAGTAGGGGAGAAAAGGGGGGATTAGGGTTATGAGATATTTTGTGAAAGTTTTTCTTGTTCTTCTTTGGTGGCTAGGGCTCTAGATTGAATTCTAGAGATTGGGAGAGTGCGATCCTCCTCTCGAATAGAGGATCCTTGTATCTTTGCTATTTTTCCTTTCATCTTCTAGTAAAATACAAGTTCTTACTTCGTGTTTCTATCGTTTTTCTCGCGTTTTCCCACTGTTTTGGCTGATTTCCTGCTGTGGACAGCAGTTCGCTGTGAGATCTTTGACTAAAATGATTAGGAAATACTTGGAATCAAGTATTTCCTATCACAATATTGAATAGTTCATGAGCAATGAGGTTGATTAAGTGATATTGGAAATTTCCTGAATGGATGGATGGCATTAGGTGAAAAGCAAAAATATTCATCTACTCTTTAGAATCTGTGGACGTCAGCAACGTCCAACATATTTCGTTGAAGAAGATGAAGAGTTTTGGACAAGAATATGTTATCCTTTAATGATATTAGAAACGTGTATAAACACCTTTTATTTGTATAAGGTTTGAAAGGATTTCACTCGATTCATCACTTGCACAACAGTGCAAGGCGCTCCTTGTTTCTCTTTTTTCCAATTTCAGCTAAATTTTCTTTCGTTATGTTGGCTGAAATTTTGTGATAGCAGCCACTTCTCATCATTGTTTGAGTTCTCTTCTTCTGTTAATTTCAAATGTGTTTTAATTGGACCCATAACTTTCCTTGTGTTACTTTAATCACTACAAGATCTTTAGAAGTTTCTTTATTCTGAACTCATTCGTACTTATGTTGCATAGTAAATTCACCTTTTTCCTACTGGCTACCTATTGTTGACAAATGTTTCATGAAAATGTTTTGTATCAGTCATCGAATGGCTATCTTTATGTTTTTTTTTTAAATTTAATTTACATAAGTGTAGATTTCTGTGGAGAATTGTTTAGTTGTCTTCTGTTTGGTAATAAACTATTATACTAATGACTTTGATCTGATGAACGAAATTATGAAATAAACTTTTGCCATGCAATTATTACTGCTTCTCGTAGTAACTCATGGCTGGCTATAAAAATCAATGTGAATTTTTGGTCTCTCATATCTGCAATTGCACTACAGATAATAAAAATGAATAACTGATAAACATAACTGATTGAAATAATATGCAATATACTTGTTAGTGCCATAAAACATGTTCAAGAAAAAACTAATTTCAAAGGAACACATAAGGCTTCTGACTTTGGCACCTTTCATCATGGTAATGAAACGAATCTGTGCAGGTTCTTCTGCTGACATAAGGCAACAATTCCAAATCTTCTATGTGAGTGAAAGTAGAAGGCCAATGATGCAGGTTGCAAAGTTCTATCTTTGAGCATCAGTGCTGCAAAATTTGATCTAAGCACTTACAATATTTGTTGGATGAACAACTTTGCCAAGAAGCTCAACTTTTGATCGGGTAACCTCAGAACCTGATTCATTGGTTTTTGGCCGAAAAACTCCTTAAATGAAATACACTATACAAGTGGGTTAACCATGGGGTAGATGGATTTCTTGTTCATACAATAACCTAAGTATGATATTCTAATTCTGATTTGCAAACCAAGCCCACTTTTGTTTATTCATAGTTTTAAAATAATAAAAAAACCACATTGAATAAGACTTTTTGCCGTCTGCTAGCATGATAAATGACTGAAGTTAGTTTTGCAAAGTACATGTAAAGAAGGCTAAGGATTGGGCTGTGAAAACGTACTATATGGCTACATGAAGGTTGGTTTAAATGATGGAAAGTGTTATTTCCTTGATAATTTATCTCCATCTGATTAAAAACATTGGTTTGCAACTACAAAGTTTGGATAATAGTATTGATATCTCTACTCAAGGTTTGCTCTAAAGCTGCAAGAAAGGCGGACTAATATTTTAATCTTGTAGTGAGATAGTATATTTTGGTTCATACATCTATCAGAAATTTTGGAATATAACTTTAATATTAAATTCAAAGAATGTGGTAATTAAAGTAATTATACGTTTCTCACCAATTTTTCTTGAGTCGCATTTATGCTTTGAGAATCCAAAATTTGAAGGGAACTAATATGCAACGTTATAGAGAAATATTTTATTGTCTGTAATATATTTAACACGTAAGAGTGATTTATTTGAACTTGAACATTAAATTCAAAGAATCTGCTAATCAGAGTAATTATGCATTTTTCACTAATTCGTCTTAGTTACATATATATGCTGTAGCATACAAAGTTAAACCATGTGGTTCCTATCCTCGCATTTGACAAATTTTGAAGCAGTCAATAGAGTTACGATATCATTTAATTCATTATTCAATCTTTGAAATTGTAAGACTGTTGGACTATAGAGTTACTTTAGTCTGCAAAGTGATAGCTTAAGCTCTCACTTTGTTTAAGATGATTTTAATAGCTGAGGACGTGGTAAGCCCAAATTGTTTTCCAACATAATATGAGAGATGCTTTTGTCCAGCAGTGAAAGGTAAAATAGCATGTTTTATAGTTTTTCCATGATTGAAGTTAAAATGTATGAAGTTATTCTTGCCTTGTGATATAATAGGTTAAGTTTTTACTCGAAATGGTTACCATCTTTAACAGCGTGTGCTGTGCCAAACTCAATTTAGCTGAAAATCTTTGTTGACATATTGCCTTCTATATGAATCACGCAAATGCAGGAAGGAATTCATGATATTTCTTATTATGAAAGATCTCTTGATTAAAATTTAAGTATTCCAAATGCTGCTGAAATTAATGTTTCCCTATTACTGTAACCTAGCATTGCCTTTTGCCATTTGGTGTTTTCTTATTAACGGATTTTATTTCTCAAACCCTGAAATTAATGTTGTTTTAATCCTTTTCAACTTCAATGAGTGGTAAATATTATAACAACTTCTCAAGCGTTGTATTTCTTTCCATATATCATTTGTCAATATATACACTTTTAAATTGATGTTGTTTTATATACCTATAATCAGATTATGCAGTCTGCATCATAAAAAATAAAATAAAAGAGAAGGTATCACTAGTTGCCCATTGTTAGGAGCATTTGCATGACAAGTTAATTAAACTAAGCACGCGTAGATCGGGAGGAGCTATGTTTATTACTGACTATATACTAAGTCACACTCGGATATTAGCTTAATTGCTTGCCTATGTGGTTTTTGATGCACTGTTTTCATTCAGAACTTACTAATTTTTTTGAGTTGCCTTGTAATTCTTTGCTTTTTTTTTACTTTCCCATTCTTATTATCTTGTTGGTTTTTTTATTGTATTTATTCGTTCAGTTCCGGTTTTGTGAAGGTCATAATTTCAGCGAAGGAAGAGCCAGATTTAACAATTTCCCCTGCAATGAATGCTCTTCTGAAGGTTCATAAACGCATGATAGATGGCTTAGATGGGGACTCTCACGGTCCACCTAATCCTGGCAATGCTGTCTTGACAAGATTATTATTGGGAGCAACACAAGCAGGAAGTCTTATTGGCAAACACGGATCAACCATTAAATCTATCCAAGAAGCTTCTGGTTCTGTAGTTCGTATTGTTGGTATGGGGTTCTCTTCCTCACGTTTACGGTACCTTTAATTTTTCTTGTTGAATCACGATTGTTGATACCTTCGGATTTGGTTTGTTTTTTACAATATAACATGGAGTATTGTTGTTTAATACACTGTTATCTGTGCATCCACATCAATTATCTTTTGGTAAATTTTCTTGAAGATCCTTTATTGGATATACAAGTTTATTCTCTTATTACTTTTCGACTAATAATTTACATTTTCTAGCAAGTACCTGAAGCGTTTGAAGTGGTTCATTTCGGTGTAATCATGAAGTGCTGAGTATTTTTTATTGAACTTTTGATCTTGCTGTTTTTATTTAGGTTTCTTTCTTTCAATATTTTTTTTTTGTTCAAAGCTGGGCAAATCCTTCTCATTGTTTAGGAACAAAATTTTAAAAAAATGATTGCAAAGAAATTGGAAAAGCACCTTCCTTGCAATATTTGACATGGGTTGTTTGATAGTTTATTATGTGCGTTATTTGGGAACTTATATTTTCTTAAAAAACTTTTGAACCTATGTCTTAGAACCAAATTGATTCTGAGGAGCTAAGGAAAAGTTTCTGATCCTTTTTTTTTTTCCCTCTTCTCCTTTCAAAACCCACAGCTCCTCAATTAACCGTGGCATGGATTTTGAATCTTAATGACTCGACAATAAGATGTTGGTTTTAAGTTGCAATAGTTATGTGTTTTTTCTTTTCAATATTTCTATTGTGCATTTCATGGGAATTTTTAGATTTTGGGCTTGTTGGCTTAAAAAACCAATAAAATCAAAATAAAACCTGAAAAACCGTTTTTAATCAAAATCTTAAAGCTATGGTCCCTGCTCCTATCCCATTTCCTATAAAGTTGTAACCCTAGCGACTCTCCTTGTTTGTAGAATCATCGTTGATGAAAATTTGGCCATTTGTTCGCCACCTTTCGTTAGACTCATTCAATTGCCCTTCCAAACGACAATTAACGACGAACTTGTTGTAAGGTTTCGACGCCCTTAAATGCATAAATAAATAAATAAATAAATAAATAAATATATATATATATATATAATCTTTTTAATGTTCTACTAGTCTATAAATACAATGATGTAAGGCTGTGTCAAGAGAAAAATAATTCTTTATAAGCATGTGACTCAAGTTGATTGAGACATAGAGAAGGTGAAGAAAGGCTACATGTATATCAAATGTAATTTTTGCATCAAAATTATCATAGGATGTGTTATAAGACGTCATCTTGGCAAAGTCATAAGAATATAATGGGACCGTGATAAAATTTGTGAAGCTAAATGAGAGAGTTCAAACTATTTGAATGCTTTTACAAAGGCAAAGCATCAACACAAACAAAATATGAATGAAATTATTAAGAATAGATTATATTTTGATTCTTGCCCTACTGGTCCTATATTGGTTCTACTAGCGGTATTGATAGTACCTCTATTTTCACTTGAAGAATTTGAGTCCCAATGGATCAATTTATTGAATATTTGGTTCGATGGTTTAAAACATCTTTTGAGGTGCATGTCTTGAGGCGCACCTCAAATTAAGGCACACAATGAGTGTCTCGAGGATTAAGCCTGACTAGTGCTAGTGAGGCTTACGGCGTTTTTAAATAAGGCATACACCTCAAGGTATTTTCAGGCAAGGGGTATTTTTGGTGAAGTTTTATAATTTATTATATTAATATTAATGTTAATATTTTTATTACTTTATTTTTTATTTTATTATACAAAGAAGGAACCAATTAGTCATAGGACGAATGAATAAGGTTGGATGGTTGTGTTATGTTAATAAAAAATTAAAAGGTAAACATTTCAAATTATAGAGGTGAATAATTGGTGATGATGAAATAAATTCTTTGGTGGTTAATGACATATTATCCATGATGTATGGATAATACCAAATAATAGTGAAAGAGTTAAAGTTGAAAATGGAGGAATGCATTTGATGATGAGGAGAATGAAGAAATTAATGCTAATATTAAAATAACTATTGAATTGATAATAACTTTTACTTCACAATCAATTTAAAGACAATAGCAACGCGGAGTTCAAGCTTAAAAAAAAATATCAAATGTTGTTTTAAATATAATGGATTATTTTGTTGTTTTATTTTACATAACACTGAATGCAATGTTAATTAATATGGGAGTTTAAAAAAATGTTATAACTAAAGAAGGTTTAGAATATGACAATGAGATAAAATTCAATGATGATATAATTATTATATATGAGGGCTATTATGAATAATATGAAAATAAGGATAAGGCCACCGTGGATCCTTATCTTTATGGTGTATTTAAGTTTTAAAGGAGCGATCACTTTGAATCTCATTTCCTACTTTTATTTTATAGTACATTTGAGATTTTTGTTGTTTATATCTTTATGATGATGAATCAAATAAATATGTTGATATGTTATTTTATTTTTGTTATTTTTATGAATTATTTATAAGTTCATGTTTTTTTTTTTAATTTTTGTCTGGAGGCTTGTGTCTCGATCCTCTTGGAGGCTCACACTTGGCCTCCCTAAGGTAAAACGCCTCAACTCTAGATTTCACCTTTTAAAACCTTTTTTTGGATATTATTATTAAAGGCCAATGTTATAGTATCTCATCAGTGTCCTATAAAATTTTTTGGAATAAAGTTTGTATGGATATTGAAAGATTTTCTTTTTTTATGAAAATAGAGTCCTGTTTATTGTTTTAAGATGCCCATTTTGTTTCAGTATATGTTCCATTAGGAACTATAATCGAGGATTGAATTTTCCAAGCATTCATGAGCTTTGAACATGGATATTGAAGGAAAAGTGAATACCATTGTTAGAAATAATTCTAGAAATAAAGTATACGTTGGCACAACCTTGAGTTTCAATGTCATCAGATGGTTGGCAAGACATAAGAGGTTGAAGCTTGATCAGCTTTCTTGCAACAATCATAATGGAATAATGTTTTTGAAATGTGTTTAGTTATCTAAGTTTATTCAGGTTGCACCGATTGTTATTCATAATGCTTGATGATATTGTTGAGAAAGTTGAAGAACATTTTGTTGTTCAAGTGATAATAGATAATGCAAGTATATATAAGGCCTCATGGAGGATGTTAATGGAGAAAATAAAACATTTATTTTGGACTCCAAGATTGAAATAGTAGTGCACGGGTTAAAAATATGAAAGGAAACAAAAGAAAATGATTATCTTAATAGATAATACTTTTTTGCTAACTGTTATATATAGTCTTTGAAACCACAACGTTTTAGTTAAGTGTTGAGAATGGTTGATGGTGAAGTGTTCTATAATGGGCTTTATCTACGGTATTATAAACAATGCAAAAGAACAAATAGGAACGAACGTATGTGGGGAAGAGTCAACTTATAAAGAGATGAGAAATTATTGATCAGAAATGAGACAACCAATTATTTCGTGATTTGCATTTTGTTGGATGTTTTTAAATCATTTGTTTTGTTTTAATGGTAATTTCTTTGAATGTGCGGAGGATATATATATATATATATATATATATATTTATATATTGTAAATGTGTTGAGAGAATGATAAGCTCTTTTGAATATTTTGAGAATATTGTTAAATGAATTAAAGAATTTATCACAAAAAGGGAATGTTTGGCATGAGAGCTGCCCAAGGTGGTAATGAGTCGAGCCAAGCTTGAGTCACCCCTGGATTGAGCTTGAGCTTAATTAATTATTCAATTTCGAGCTCGAGATTGGGTTTAATTCTACAAGTTCGTGATAGTTCATGAACCGGCTTATTTATTATGAAGAAAATGCTTATTATTCAAATGAGTATTATAATAAAATGATAAAAAGAATATGAACATAGAAGATAAATAATAAAAAATCACTTGATATAAGGAAGTGTGTTATAAATTTTAAATATTTTTAATAAATTTGTACTTAAAATTTTGAATGCTAATATTTTTAAAGTATATTATATACTAATTGTTTCTAAAGGAGGCATTGTTTGAGCTAACGAGACGAGTTGAGGTTAGCTCAAGCTTGGCTCGTGAGCTCATCGAGCTCAGCTCACGAGCCATTTTTTGAGCCAAGCTCGAGTTGGCTCGACCCATGCTCGAGTTGGCTCGACTCATTTCCACCTCTATGTCTAATTATCAAGCAAAAACATTCATTTGGTAAGATGTCTATCTACTTTACTTAATATTAATATTATTTTTATATTTGTTAAATATGTAATTAATATTATTTATTTTCTTTTTTCAACTTGTGTTTTAAAGCATTGATGGTTGCACTTTAGAGACGAATCACTAGAATTAAAAGCATTTGCAATAAGTGTCGTAAGTATGACATATTCAGTTTTTGCATGTGAATGAAATTGGAGCACATTCATATGAAGAGAATAATTTGTTTGGCTAAGGCTAGTATGAAGGATGAACAAATTAGTTTATGTCATATATAATAAGAAATTAAATGGCACACATGTCAAGTTATCTCACGCAAAGATGAAGATGATTTTTTAATTCTTGATAAATTGTTGTCAGATGATGAATGGGTGCTTAACAAGACAACAACATCAAGCCTTTATCCCACTACGTGGGGTCGGCTACATGAATCCTTTTTCTCCATTGTGTCCTATTAGAAGTCAAAATATCGTTTAAATCTAATAAAGAAAGATCATTCCTAATATTTTCTAACCAAGTCTTTTTACGTCTGCCTCTATCTTCCTTAATATAAATCAAATCTAATACCTCTACTCTCCTAACCGGGTCATCGGAAGGCCGCCGTTTTATGTGTCCAAACCATCTAAGGCGACTCTCTCTAATCTTATTTTCTACTGGAGCTACTCCAACCTGTTCACGTATATGCTCATTTCGTATCCTATCTGATGGGGACATCGATACGAGATTTCGACGCATCTATCAGAGGCGACACAGGAGATCGATGGCTACAATGGAGAGTCTTTACTTTTGATGCATTTTTATGTATTAGTCATTATTATTTCGTCAGTTTTTTCGTTTTGCCCTTAG